TCACGCGTTTCTTAAGATGGCTGATGGGTGTAGGTTCGTGCGGCGTCGGCGCGCGCAAAGGTTTTTGACACCGCGTCGGTCGTTCAACCTTGAACGCCTCCGCCAGCGTCGCCGGCGCGCCACCGCCGCAGGAACCTGCTGTATCCCCCAGAGGTCCGAGGCCCTGAGAAACTGGAGCGCCCGCACCCCAGGACCGTCAGAAACTACTCCAGATGAAACAACTGCCAGGACCTCCTCCTCCTCCTCCTCCTCCTCCTCCTCCTCCTCCCTCGTCCTGCCCCTCCTCCTCCTCCTCCTCCTCCTCCTCCTCCTCCTCCTCCTCCTCCTCCTCCTCCTCCCCCTCCTCCTCCAGCAGGAGTCTGCAGAGGAGCTGTCCAGGGCTCCGGGGTCCACGCATCAAACGTATGTAGAGTCCAGAGCCCGGATGACAGCGCAGTCCGAAGCGCGTGAATTGCCCCTGGGGAGCGCCTGCAAGGACGCTGGAAGGCATGCCTCGGGAGCTTGCGAGCTCGAGAAACGGAGCTTCGCAGGAGCTCCGATGGAGCTGCGGAAAGGCTTCCAGCACTCTTTACTATTGGGAACGAGTAGGAAAATGCTTGCCCGAACACGCTGCGAATTCAAGCAAGGCGCTGCGGGGATGCCTGACCGGGAGCCTTCCTGCCTGCCAGCTTCCTCTTTATCCACTCTCTTAGCTCTCACAAGGAGCTATCCGGGAAAACTGGAACGCCCGATGTCTGGCTTCGCAGATGCAGAGGTCACCGTCGGCGCCCGCGCAGGACGAGGTGGGCCAAGGGGTTGGGCGGCCTCCTGAGAGAGGGCAGGGGGCCTTCTGCAAGGGCTCGGCCGCTTCTCAAAAATGGCCTCCTCCCAGGCGGGAGGGCGCCTGAGAATCACGCCGCCTCCTTACCCAGACCCCCCTCGAGTCATGACAAAACCACGACGGGAAGTTCTTCGCTATGTTCGGCCTCTGGAGGCCCTTACCCGACCTCAGGTCCGTCAAAAAACGACTCAGGATGAAAGACCGGTCCCGGGGAAGGGGTCCGCCTGGGCACCTAGACCCCCGACGTCGTGATTTGTTCATGGCGTGGGCCCCCAGAGGTCCAGACCCCTTCCTGGGAGCTGGCTCTCCTCCCGATTGTTTTTTTTGTTGTTGCGGTCCCGGGGGCCGGGGAGGGCCCCAGAGGGCCGAAGATGGGGGAAAAGCCTGCGTCGCGATCCTTGTCATTCACGGCGCGAGGGGGGCTGGGATGTGCCTATAGCTAGGGGGGGAGGGGAAGGTACGTACAGATCTCGTTGCACTGCCCCCCCTCTCCTCATTTCGGATGTTGCTAAAGGTGCCCCTGGCCCAAAGTGCCCCCAGCTTCTCGCTCCATTCTGGAGCCCCATGAGGCCCTCTGGGCCTCGTGAGGGGTGCACTGGAGGCCGTGGGGGCCTCGGAAATCCTGGGAGCACCTTTGGGCCAGGGGCACTTCCATCAACGCCCGATCATTTTCGTCCGACCCGGGCCTTGAGCTCTGCGCGGGACGCTGGAGAGCCAAAGCGCGGCACGCGCACTGGGCGCTCCCAGGGTCTGCGCGCCACTCTTGAAGGGCGGCGGTGGGCCCGCCCCCTCCACCGCTCCCCGGACCTTTCCAGGGGTGCGTTCTGACCAGGACTTCGAGGAGACTCTAGCGGTGGCGACGATGGCCTCCCACCCAGACCCCCCTCGAGCCATGACAACATCACGACGAATGTTTTTCACCATTTTCGGCCTTCGGGGGCCCTTGACAGGCCGCAGGTCCGTCAAAACCGACTCAGGATGAAAAACCGGTCTCGGGGAAAGGGTCCAGGCCTCCAGGGGTCGACGCTGCAATTGTGGATGCCATGACAGTGGACACTCTAACAATCCGATCATTGAATTCGCCGGCCCAACGGGCCAGAGGCGTGCTAAGATCTCCGGTAACTGCTTAACAATTTTCTAGATCGCGCGCGCGGGGCGGCCCCTGGGGGTCCCCGGACGAAAAGTACCCTGACCAGGTCCCTGGGCAACTCCCTGTCGGGGATGGTTCTGCTCCTGGGCGCCGCCCTCAGGGCCTCCCAAGAGCCCCGAGAAGAGCTCAGAGACCCCCAAGAGGCCCTCAATATGGTCCAACAGAGCTCCAAGACGCCATAATATCGCTCCCAAACGCCTAAGATGGCTCCCCGACGCACCAAGAAGCCTCCAAGAGCCCTGCCAAGAGGTCCCCAAGAGGCAAAATTCATCGATTTCCCTGAGGTTTTTGAAGGATTTTCGCATTCTCGCCTTTTCCGCTTCCCGACGCTCCAAGACGACCAAAGAGGCCCCAAAGATCGCCCCAAGACGGCCCAAAAGGCCCCCAAGAGGGCTTCAAAACGGCCCAAGAGCGCCCCAAGACAGCCCAAGACGCCGCCAAGACGGCCCAAGAGGGCCCCAAGAACGGCCCCAGAGGGGGAACACGAAACAACATTTCGAGCCCTCAGTCCTAAGAGCCTCCCGGGAGGCCCCCAGAGGTCCCCAAGAGGCCCCCATGGGCCCCCAAGAGCCCCTCAGAAGGCCCCGAAGAAGCCACCAAGAGGCCCCCAAGCGGCCCCAAGAGACCCCAAATAGCGCTCCAGGGCCGGCGGAATGAGCGAAGCGATTCAATAAAGAAGTGTTTGCAATGTGTAAAACATGTTCTAAACATGTTTCAAACATGGTCTTCAACACTTTTAAAACATATGTGAAACATATTTTAGACATCTGGAAATGACTTGGCAACATGTTTCGTCTTCATTGATCGTCCTTCGCAACGCTGCAACATAAATCACGACGTCGGGGGTCTGGGCTGAGGGCCCCAAAAAGGAAAAACGAGGGAGAGGTAGCGGTATGGGGCTACCTCTTTCTCCTCCGCCTGTCTCCCCTCGACTTCGTCGCGCTGCGGCAGGAGCAATTTCACGACGGTCGGCTTCTGCCACTCCCTATCGGCCTCCGAGAGCCTTCGCTGGGCCCTGGCACTGTCCAGAGACGAGTCCGTTGGGCGCGAAATCACGAAGGGGCGATCCATAGGGGGGGGGGAGAAAGGTGCCCTTGTCAGGCCCGAAGAGCTCCCTTGAGGGGCCCTTTCGGATCCTAGGGCCCATTCCTGCAGCCCTCGCTGCCCCCCCACTTATCGCCCCCCCCCATCACGCGTCCTCCGCGTCGGGATGTCGAGTCAGCCCCCTGGAAGGGGCCCAAAACGTCGACCCCCCCAGAGGTCTGGAGCACTTCCCTGGGACCAGTTTCTTATCCTGAATCGTGTGTTGACTGTCCCGAGACCCAGCGAAGGCCCCCGGAGGCCGAAAATATAGAAACACCTCCCGTCTGTTTTCTTTGACAACGCGAGGGGGTCCGGGGCCGCTGCGACACCTCACTGGGGGTACGTCGTCCTGGGGATACGTTCGGGCCTTGCCCACGGACGTCGCGACACAAAAATCATGACGTGGGGGGCCTGGGCCTGGAGCGCTCCGATCGCGCCAGGGAGGGAGGGAGGAGGGGCGGGAGGGAGGGAGGGAGGGGAGGGAGAGAGGGCGGGAGGGGAGGGAGGGAGGGACGAGGGAGGGAGGGGGAGGAGGAGGAGGAGGAGGAGGAGGGGGAGGAGGGAGGAGAGGAGGGAGGAGGAGGAGGAGGGAGGAGGAGGAGGCTTTAGAAGGAGGAGGAGGAGGAGAGAGGAGGAGGAGGATGCAGAGGAGGAGGAGAGGAGGAGGAGACGAGGGGGAGGAGGAAGGGGAGGAGGAGGAGGAGGAGGGGGAGGAGAGGAGGAGGGTGGGGAAGAGGAGAAGACGAGGGGGCGGAGGAGGAGGAGGAGGAGGAGGAGGGAGGAGGAGAGAGGAGAAGAAGGAGGAGGAGTAGTGAGGAGGGGGAGGGATGGAAGAGGAGGAAGAAGACGGAGGGGGCGGAGGAGGAGGAGGGGGGAGGAGAAGGGAGGAGGAGGTGGAGAGAAGAGGAGGAGGAGGAGGAGGAGGAGGAGGAGGAGAGGAGGAGGAGGAGGAGGAGGGGGAGGAGGAGGGGGACTGAGGAGGAGGAGGAGGAGGAGGAGGAGAAGGAGGAGGAGGAGGAGGAGGAAGAGAAGAGAGGAGGAGGAGGAGGAGGGGAGGAGGAGAGGAGGAGGAGGAGGAGGAGGAGGAGAGGAGGGAGGAGGAGAGGAGGCGGAGGAGGAGGAGGAGGAGGAGGAGGAGGCGGGGGGTGGGGCGTGTGGGGTGGAGGAAGAAGAGGAGGGGGGGAAGGAGGAGGAGAAGGAGGAGGAGGCGGAGGGAGGAGGGAGGATGAGAGGAGGAGGAGGGGGAGGGGGAGAGGAGGAGGAAGGAGGAGGAGGAAGAGCAGCAAGCAGGAGGATGAGGGGAAGGAGGAGGGGGGGAGGGGAGGAGGAGGAGGAGGAGGAGGAGGAGGAGGAGGCGGGGGATGACGATGATGATGATGATGATGATGATGGTGATGATGATGATGATGATGATGCTGATGATCATGATGATGATTTTTTCTCGACATCATGACCAAGTATGCAGCTGGTGGTCCGTCGCAGAGAGCATAACAGAGTCATGTCCCGATGAACCCGCGTGGGGCGAGTGCGCTCGGGGTGCTTCGACGCACAGCCAGAGACCGTGTATCTAGCTTGCATGCGAGCGGGTGCTTACGAAAGACTGGCGGTGGCCGATCCGAGTCGCAAGTAATTCAAAGCTCCATTACACGCAGGCAAGCGGGTGCCCGAGTCACTTAACGTAAAAAAGATGCAAATATGGCCGTGGCTCAGAGGGCGCGTCAGAAAGGAAGTGAGGCAGCATCTCAGTCGACGTTTCGCCATCTTCGATGCCTCGTTGGCGGCGCCCACGATCTCCTCAAGAGGGAGCAGGTCTCCATCCTCCAAGGCCTGCTGAGGCCAAGCTGAGCATGCGGTGGATGCGCCCTGCGATCTGCGTAGGCCCGTATAGGAGAAAAAAGATGGGACAGCTAATGCACAGTGAAGATGCGACGGGCACCATCCTACATCCTACGCCCCGTCGACCTTGGCCATGTGCTTGATCAGGTCAACGACACGGCACGCATAGCCCCACTCGTTGTCGTACCAGGCCACTAGCTTCACGACCGTGGGGTCCAGCATGATGCCCGCCTTGGAATCGAAGGTGCTGGAGATGGGGCACGTCTCGAAGTCGGTGGACACGAGAGCCTCGTCGCAGTAGCCCAAGTCTCCCTTCATGTCGCCCTCGGAGCGCCTCTGGATCTCGGCGCAGATCTCCTCGTAGGTCGTCGCCTTCTCCAGCCCACAGGTGAGGTCCACGACCGACACGTCGATGGTGGGCACGCGGAAGGCCATGCCCATGTGCTTGCCCGCCACCTTTGGAAGCCAAAGATGAGAATCTTATTGGGCGCCATGTAGGAGTGCATGCAGTAATGCCGGAGGGCCTGCGCTTTCACGTTCATCTGGCAGAACGTTGCTCAGGGGCTCGTCGTTCTTTATGAAGTCGCCGTCCTGCCAGAAGCCATAGCAGGCCTCGACGAAAGGCTTCGGCTGCAGGCCGTGCGTGGGTTTGATGATGGTGTCGACCACCAGGCCAGGCCCGTCGAACAGGCGCAGGTGCCGCGGCGGGACGTAGATGTCGTAGATCTTGTCGTAGCCGACGTCACCCATCCCCTGGTTAACCACCTTCTCCACCTTGTCGCCCAGCACCTCCTTCATCAGCTTCGTCAGCGGCTCGAACTCCGCCTTCAGCTCCTCCAGCTTCTTCTTCTCGTCCTCGTCCTCGAGGTCCACACCTTCCTTGGTCGTCGACTTGAGCTTCTTGCCGTCGAACTCCGTCAGCTGCTGCACGGAGTACTCATCGATGGGATCGGTCATGTAGAGGACCTCAAGACCCTTCTTGCGCAGCGTTTCCAGGAAAGGCGAGGACGACACCGCTGCGATGCTCTCCCCCGTAATGTAGTAGATGTCATTCTGCCCCTCTTTCATGCGGTCCACAAACTCCTTCAGGCGGATCATCTCATCTCCAGATCTCGAGGTGTGGTAGCGCATAAGCTCCGCGACCTTGGTGCGGTTGGTGGAATCTTCATGCACGCCGAGCTTGAGGCACTTGCCGAACTGCTCGTGGAACTTCTTGTAGTCGTCCTTCTTCTCGGCGATCTCCACAAACATCTCGAGGCACTTCTTGACGAGATTCTTCTTGATCGCTCGCAAGATCTTGTTCTGCTGCAGCGTCTCGCGGGAGATGTTCGGTTTGATGATGGTGTCGGCCACCAGGCCAGGCCCGTCGAACAGGCGCAGGTGCTGCGGCGGGACGTAGATGTCGTAGATCTTGTCGTAGCTGACGTCACCCATCCCCTGCTCGTATGATGATTGCCCTTCTTCACGTCGGGCTCGACACGGTGCAGCGTGCAGAGCACACGCGCCGGTGCACATCGCCCTGCGCGGGTGTGGTGCTTGGCCCTCTGCAGACTGCGAAAGCACGGGGGGGCGCGTCCTCTGAGGCCGCTGCGCCTCCGATGGCTCGAGCTCGCGGCGGCCTTGATGATGATGATGATGATGATGATGATGATGATGATGATGATGATGATGATGATGATGGTGATGGTGTGGTGATGAGGAGGAGGAGGAGGAGGAGGAGGAGGAGGAGGAGGCGAGGAGGAGGAGGTGGAGGACGAGGAGGAGGAGGGGAGGAGGAGGAGGGAGGAAGGAGGAGCGAGGAGGAGGAGGAGGAGGAGGAGGAGGAGTAGGAGGAGGAGGAGGCGGAGGAGGAGGAGGCGGAGCTCAGATCGTTGGGGGGCTCTAGGAGGGGAGGAGGAGGAGGAGATGAGGAGGGGAGGGGGAGGAGGAGGAGGAGGAAAATGAGGAAGAGGAGGAGCAGGAGGAGGAGGAGGAGGAGGAGGAGGAGGAGCTGGAGGAGGAGGAGGAGGCGGAGGGGAGGCGTGGGAGGAGGAGGAGGAGGAGGAGGAGGAGGAGGAGGAGGAGGAGGAGAAAGAAGAGGAGGAGGAGGAGGAGGAGAAAGAAGAGGAGGAGGAGGAGGAGGAGGAGGAAGAGGAGGTGGTGGGGAAGGGGGCTCCGGCACCGACCCAAGAAGTCCGCACGTGGCCTGGGAAGATCATGTTCGTGCCGTTCCCACAGACAATCGACGGCGTGATCTCTTCCCCTTTCTGCTCATCGACTGCCCGAGTTCTGCCAATCCACGGCAAGGCCTTGGCAGTGGCCTTAAGGCTTCGCCCTGGCTCCGAGCTTGACAGCCCCAGGGCCCGAGACCGGCCCCCGGAGGTCCACAGTGGAAGGGCAAGAGCAGGACTGAAACAACAGCCCGCCGGACGCCTGGATTCCCCATCCCCACGGCCCCGATTTGTTCAATGCGGGGGCCCCCGACCTCTCCGGACCGCCCCCTGGGGAGCATGTTCCGCGTCAGGGGCAAATCTTGGAAGAAAGGCCTCGGAATAACTGGGGTCGCCGGTGCATCGCCGGTGTCGCCGGAGTATCGCCTGCGCATCGGCGATTCATGGCCGATGCATCGGCGATGCAGCGCGATCCCCCGACCCCATCTGCTCAGACCCAATCTGGGAAGCCTCGATTGAAGGTGCCTGAGCTCGAAAATGGTCACCAGGCGCTGAAATGGCCACGAATGGAAGAAAAAGCGCGCCAGAGCTGGAAAACAACAAAAACAATCCGCCCGACGCCTGGCCGGTTTTGGCTCTCCAGGAAAGCTGGGTCTGCCGTAGTAGCCCGGCGTTGCCTCCTTCGGGTGCGCTGAAAAAGGGGGTGGGGGCGCATCATGTTCCGCTAGCACATGAGAGAGAGAGAGAGGGAGCCCTGAGATCTGTACGTTGCAATTTGTTCTCACTGGGCGTCTTCGCTCGGTTCTGGGTTCCGGGACCGTCGCAAGCCAATCCGGCTCGAAGAATGCTGCAGATAGATTGGGTTTAGGACTCCATTCGTGTTGTTCCGCGACGTTGCAGTTTCTTCGCAACGTCGGATCTCAGACAGAGAAGGAGGGAGACAGAGAGAGAGAGAGAGGCGAGTGAAAGAGAGAGAGAGAGAGAGAAACATATAGAGAGAGACTCCGTGCTCGTCAGAGGTGCACTGGCAAGGATGTGAAACGATCACCACTACAAATGGCACTGCTCGTTCTGGGGACCTTCCTGGATCCACTCGCTCCACTCGTGCGTCGATGCTGTGTCGAGCGTCCGTCGACTTGATTTCAACTTTGAGTCGAACTAGAGTCGCACTGCAGTCGAGCTAGCGGCAAACTAAAAGTAACACATACCCGTTAGGTGGGCCCCATGAAGGTCCCCCAAACGAGCGTCTGACGATTGGGAACCACACGCGGTAAAGGCAGCATACCGATTACAAGATGTTCTTGATCGTCCATTCCACTGGTCCTCGACGGTGTTCGGTGTAGCGCTACTCCCGTTCGGGGGGTGGGGCAGGGGACGTGCGTTCGAATAACAGGAGGGGGCCATGACATCTGGGAGACTCCGTGGCCCCAGGTCGTGATACCCACACCGCCCAAGTCCTCACCAGAACTCTGGCGTGGTGACCTCAATTTTCACAACGTGGGCCCCCTCGCAGGTCTGGACCTTTCCTTAGGTCGGGCATGTCCCTCTACAGGCGGATGTTGTAAGATCTTTAACAAGTCAAAACATATTCAAACATAGCCACAGGAGCACGAGAACTCGTCACCAGACTAATCCGCCGGCCCCCTTGTGGGGCCACCAGGCTGTAGGCCGAAGGTTCGCAGTTTCTGTACCAGTTGCAGCTTCCAATTTCCAATGTTACAGTTCTGTTTCTTGCTGCTTACTGTTCCTTGTTGATGGACCGCGCGAAGGGGGGGAGGCCCAAACGGGCAGGTTTAGTACGCCCTGAGCGTGTGCTCTGAATTGCTGACACCCCTCACGCACATCGGCGGGGTCAGGGTCCAAAAACAAATGGGATTTGCAACATTTCTAAAATTCAGTATTGCCACTCACGATCGGCGGGGTCAGGATCAAAAAAACATACGGGATTTGCCACATTCCTGAAATTTGCTGGCACCCCTCACGCAGATCGGCGGGGTCAGGGTCAAAAACAAAAGGGATTTGGCACATTTCTAAAAAAAATCGGTGGCACCCCTCACGCAGATCGGCGGGGTCAGGGTCCAAAAGCACAAGGGATTTCCCACATGTCTGAAATTCGGCGGCACCCCTCACGCAGATCGGCGGGGTCCAAAAACACAAGGGATTTGCCACATTTCTGCAATTCGGTGGCACCCCTCACGCAGATCGGCGGGGTCAGGGTCCAAAAACACAAGGGATTTGCTACATTTCTGCAATTCGGCGGCACCCTCACGCAGATCGGCGGGGTCAGGGTCCAAAAACATAGGGGACTTGCCACATTCCTGAAATTCGGTAGCAAACCTCACCCAGATCGGCGGGGTCAGGGTCAAATTACACAAGGGATTTCCCACCTTTCGGAAGTTCGGTGGCACCCCTCACGCAGATCGGCGGGGTCAGGGTTCAAAAACAAAAGGGATTTGGCACATTTCTGAAATTCGGTGGCACCCCTCAGGTAGATCGGCGGGGTCAGGGTCCAACATGATCGACCCACGAACCCGGAAAGGAATGTAGAACTGTAACACATGGCAGCGTTTTCAAAGACACCTGATTGGGTGACGGGCAAATGCAATACTGAAGGTATCGATCTTGATGTACCCTGCCGAGGGCTGTGCTGTGCTGCGCCGTGCTGAATTGCGATGTGCCATGGCGCGACTGTGCTCTATAGCCTCGTGGATCGAGTCCTCCTTTGCATCCGAGTCCTGACCGAACTGATCTGGATCTTAAGCTCGAGCTGCCTGAACACATAGTAGCTGCCCCAGAGCTAATGGACAGGGGAACATGCCAGGAGGACGCGCCGCGAAACGTCCCAAGGGATGCGCCAGGCGACGTGCCAGGGGACGTGCCATGGGGTCGCACCGCGGGACGTGCCAAGGGGACGCGCTACGGAACGTGCCAATGGATGTGCCACGGGATGTGCCAGGGGACGCGCCACGCGACGTGCCAGGGGGACTCGCCAAAGGACGCCCCACGGAACGTGCCAAGGAACGTGCCAAGTTGCAATGCTGAGTGTATCGACCTTGATGTACCGTGCCGAAATCAGTGCTGTGCTGCGCCGTGCTGAATTGCGATGTGCCATGGCGCGATTGTGCTCTATAGCCTCGTGGATCGAGTCCTCCTTTGCATCCGAGTCCTGACCGAACTGATCTGGATCTTAAGCTCGAGCTGCCTGAACACATAGTAGCTGCCCCAGAGCTAATGGACAGGGGAACATGCCAGGAGGACGCGACGCAGAACGTCTCAAGGGACGTGAATTGCGATGTGCCATGGCGCGAGTGTGCTCTATAGCCTCGTGGATCGAGTCCTCCTTTGCATCTGAGTCCTGACCGAACTGATCTGGATCTTAAGCTCGAGCTGCCTGAACACATAGCAGCTGCCCCAGAGCTAATGGACAGGAACATGCCAGGAGGACGCGACGCAGAACGTCTCAAGGGACGCGCCAAGCGACGTGCCAAGGGACGTGCCATGGGGACGCACCGCGGGACGTTCCAAGGGGACGCGCTACGGAACGTGCTGGGAACAAGCGTTTCGCTCGAGACATCCTGTCAAAATCATCTGAATTCCTACGCGCGGGACGCTGCACGCGCGAGACATCCTCGGAATTCCTGCGAGCGGGACGTGAAAACAAGCATTTCGCCTGATACATCCTTTGAATTCTGGCCCCCCACGAGGCCACCGCTCGAGACATCCTCCAATTTTGCAAAACCAGCGTTTCGCTCGAGACATCATCAACAAATTATGAACAACAAGCGTTTCGCTCGAGACATCCTGTCAAAACCCAAGAAATCCAAATACCCGCGCGCGGGACGCGGCACGCGCAAGACATCCTTGGAATTCCTGCGCGAGGGGCTCTGCAAAACCAGCGTGTCGCTCGAGACATCCTCAACAAATTCTGAAACCAAGCGTTTCGCTCGAGACATCCCCAACTCTGCAAAACCAGCCTCTCGCTCGAGACATCCTCAACAAATTCTGAATTACACTACACCCGCGCTCCCAGGGCCACGATCCCTCGTAAATTACGCTACGTCAGCGCTCCCAGGGCCACGATCCCTCGTAAGGGCTCCTGGGCCCTCCTGGGTCTTCCTTGGACCTCTTGGGCCCTCCTGGGCTCTCCTGGAGCCTCCTGGAGCTTCTCCTGGGCCCTCCTTGGGCCCCCTGGTGCCTCTTGGAGCCTCCTGGGTCCTCCTGGGCCCTCCTGGGCTCTCCTGGGCCCTCCTGGGCTCTCCTGGGCTCTCCTGGAGCCTCCTGGGCCCTCCTGGGCGAAGTCAAGGTCCGAAAACACATGGGACTTGCCACATTTCTGAAATTCGGTGCCACCCCTCACGCAGGTCGGCGGGGTCAGGATCCGAAAACACATGGGATTTGCCACATTTCTGGAATTCCGTGCCACCCCTCACGCAGATCGGCGGGGTCAGGGTCCAAAAACACAGGGGATTTGCCACATTTCTGGAATTCCGCGCCACCCCTCACGCAGATCGGCGGGGTCAGGATCCAAAAACACATGGGATTTGACACATTTCTGGCATTCCGTGCCACACCTCACGCAGATCGGCGGGGTCAGGGTAAAAAAGCACAAGGGATTTCTGCTATTTCCGAACTTACGCAACTTCAAGAATCCAAAACTCCGTTCCCAGCGCCGTTCCGGAGGCCGCGGTACCTCGTTATTTATCGAGCGAACGCGTTTACCTTGTTTTTTATCGTTTAAAGTCGATGTCGGAAAAAAGTGGACATCACCTGTGAAATATCGAGGTTTCCTTAAAGGCAGTAAAATTCCAAGAGCACGATCTGCGTGAGGGGTGGCGAAAAATTGCCTTCGTCCTCACAATTGAAATCCGCCGGCCCCCTTCGACCTCGCAATTTATCGCGCAAGAATTCCGCCGGCCCCCTTCAAGTCGAAACCAGGGGGTAAACCTACTAAAAGAGAACCCTGGGCCCATGCCCTTTCCGGGAAAAACACAAGGGACTTGCCACATTTCTGAAGTTCGGTGGCACCCGTCATGCAAATTGGCGGGGTCAGAGTCCAAAAACATAAGGGATTTGCCGCATTTCGGAAATTCGGTGGCACCCCTCAGGTAGATCGGCGGGGTCAGGGTCCGAAAACACAAGGGATTTGCCACATTTCTAGAATTCGGTATTGCCCCTCACGCAGATCGGCGGGGTCAGGATCCAAAAACACTGGGGACTTGCCACATTCCTGAAATCCGGTGGCACTCCTCACGCAGATTGGTGGGGTCAGGGTCGAAAAATTAGCCTGGCGAAGGACCCAACCGTATGCAGTTGTGAGTAATGCTGGTGTGAGTACCGTCTTCGGTGGATCTCCCTATGGGGCCACGAACCGTTTGAGGGGTGTGCCGAAATGGGTGTGGGGGCGGCATGCGAACGTTGCCACTGGGGCCTTCGGTGGAGCTCCTTATGGGGCCACGAAACGTGTGAGGGGTGCACCGAAGTTGGTGTGGGGGCGGCATGCGAACGCAGCCACTGGGGCCTTCGGTGGAGCTCCCTGTGGGGCCACGAAACGTGTGAGGGGTGTGCCGAAATTGGTGTGGGGGCGGCATGCGAACGCAGCCACTGGGGCCTTCGGTGGAGCTCCCTATGGTGCCACGAAACGTGTGAGGGGTGTGCCGAAATGGGTGTGGGGGCGCATGCG